GGGGGAAAGGGTTTCAAGGCCCGCGACCATCAGGATTAATAAGGGCAAATTTTTGCACGAATATTATATAACTCTTTTTCAGTGGATCTAAATATTATTATTATTATTGACGTGCTGTTGGAGTTTAAGCAAGTAATAGTTATGAAAGAATTCAAGACAACCGGTTAGCTGGACTAGCGTTCTGGAGGTGGAAAGTACAGTACAGTACATGCACTCTGAAGGAAAGGGGGGGACGTTGCGGTTTGGGTCATCTGAACTGTCGATGTGGGAGATGGCCGGAGTTGTAAAAATAATTATTCTTATTATTATTAGTATATATTCGTTAGGAAGCACTAAGACCACAAGAAAAGACGCCAGAGGACTAGGTGATAATCTGGCTGCGATGTTGCTCCAACCCATTACTTAAGAGGTGGCATAAGGAGGGTAATACAAGAGTTCACTGTACCTTATGGGGAAGACGAGCAAGCTATACAAAGTGAAAGGACCCTGAATGTACAAAACAGATAAAACGAAGTTTATAAATGAATAAAGATAAGACTATTTGTGAGTCTACCCTTTCACCAGCATAGTTTATTCCCCTCTAGTAAGTTTTCATGAGTGGTATTTCACCAACAATAGTGTATTCCTCATACTTTTCATTATTAATGTAACTGCAAGTTTATTCCCAAATATATCTGTAAAGTATATAATTACCCTGTTATGGTGGATTAGTGGAAAGTGGTAATAAGTGCTTATACACCTCATCGGTGTATATACTGATTGGTGTATATACAAATATACATACTAATTGGTGTATATACAGATATACTGATTGGTTTATACACACATATACACAATGCTTCCTGTATACACATACATACAGATTGGCGCATATACAACTATACCAACTGATTGGTGTATATACATAATGACAGACGGATATACAGATATACGTACTGATCAGTGTATATACCAGCGAGCTCGAGAAATAGTCATACAATGCTTACAAAGCATATCTCCAGTGGACGAGAAGAGCTAATTTTTATCTAACCCACATCTCCTTAGAACGTGCATTATTTTCCCATCTTCCCATTCTTCGTATGTGCACTTTGTTCCCATCTTGCCCTTCACAGTACGTTCACTCCGTCCTATCTTTTCCTTCATCGTACGTGAACTTTGTTCCTACATTTTCCTTGATAGCGCACGCTTTGTATGACTTCAGCTGCCTCCCAGCATACATAAGGGTGATTACCAACAGATTCCTGGCTGCTTTCAAGAAGGCGCTGAACAGGCACCTAATGTCAGTACCTGACCAGCCGGGCTGTGGCTCTTACGTCAGTTTGCGTGT